ATAAAATTTTTGTTTTGTTGTTTAGGACTTTAAAAAAAATGTTATATAGTTTCTATTATTTCTCGATCTCCCCAACATATCTGTAAAAGATTTTCGAAGGGGTTTGGTAACACCCTGTATAGTATAAGATATGCCGATACTAGAAAAGTTTTAATGTTTGTAAAAATTTACTCCTAGGTATACCTTAAAATATGAATGCTACATATGAAACAAAAATGGATTCCTCTAAAGATATCCGATTAAAAAAAAATCACCAAATAAGATTTTTTTGTGGCAATAAAAATTTAGAGCGTTTTTTTTGTTTCTTTGGTAGTAGAAAAAAATTTTATATGCAATTCGTGTGTAAAGCCCTTTAAATCTTGAACAAATTGTGCCTTAATACTTTTTGCATAAATGATCAATAAAAATATTTTTTTACTACTAACATGAGAAATCACCATTATTTACTTCATTCCTCTAATGAGAAGTAATATTTCTCACCCTAGGTAAATAATGATAATAAAAAAATATCTAGGTAAATAATAAAACTAAATTTCATTAGTTTCATTTTGTTAATTTGACAACTAAACTCCCAGACTACTTGATATTTTGAAATATTTAAAAAATAAGTAGGAAATACCTATAGCTGGGTTTATTAAAATCTAATTAAATTAAATATCATAATATATATCAGTGTTAATAGTAAAAATATATATTAACTAGGAAATTCAACAACGGTAATAGGCTTCAAAAATTATTAATTAATACCAATAAATCCATGTCACTAAAATATCAAAAATGCAATGGGATATTTCCTAGAATCAAATCAAAATTTGACACATGCCAAATTTTTACATAAATAAAGCCAGTGTGATTAGAAACACGCTCCACTCTGCTTGATATCTCGAAATATTTAACAAATTGTTAGGAAATTACTTATGTCAAAATTAAAATTGCTAATATAATAATGTTAGTAGTAAAAAAAATTCTATATACCTCGGCTGAGAAAGCTATTATTTACCTTGCACATTATATCCCTCGGCGCTACGCTACGCGCCTCGGTAAATAATAGCTCACTTCTCACCCTAGGTATATAATGTACTATTTTTCCCTTCATTTCGGTCAGTGTCATTGATGCAACTCGACAAAATGTGTATCCCAAAAACAAAAGACAAACTGACATGATAATAATAATAATATAATTTATTCTCAAAAATATAAATGCATGTTAATAATAATAATCTGATGCCTTGGTAGGATTCCCCACTCGACCATTCACTGTTGGGTACTAATTAACAGTGCTGTTCCTAAAGTGGCGCTGGAAAACAGTAACAAAGCCTACACAGAACACGAGGCTAATAACCGTAGCAGTTGATGCCGATGACACAAAAAGAAAAAAAAATAGTATATTAAAATAGAATAAATTATTATGCTTGATAAGTGATTTAACACTTGTTTCGAGAATAATTTAGAAAAATATAATAAATATAAATGAACAAATACATACCTATTATATAATAATTAAAATTAAATTTCTTAATATATTTTTTCACACGATATGAATTAAAATACATTGCAATTACCATTTTACTTTTATGTAATTTTTGTTTATTTTTTAAATATAAAAATAACAATACACAATAATTGGCATCACTACCATACAAATTTAAAAATAATTTAAAAATAAGTAAATAAAATATGTTTTTTTTTTTCAGCCTAATTATAAGATCTCGATTACATGATGGATTAAATCACGGTGTTGTTGAATATAAAAAGTTAAAGTTTTTATTAAGGTTTAAGGTAGAGATATTTTAAATCGGGTGCTAGTGAATTTTAAATTTTTGGTCCCATATATGAGTAGGCTCGTTGTCCAACTACTGACTCATGCATATAGGGAATTTTTACTTGGGGGTATTGTAGAAGTGGATCAGCTGCATACATTTTTTATTAGAATAAAAATATAGGTTTATCTTTAAGTAATAAAGTTGTCAGATATTTAGAATTTTCGATTCGGTATACAGCAGAATTGTAAAATATGTGAAATTTTTACTGAATATCAGTTTTAAGAACCTTCGTTGGATGATTTCTAATGTGTGCATATGAATTTTTAAAGCATTACCCTATATTAAAAGGCCATACCTCAAGTGATTCTCCACCAAAGCAGAGTAAAGTAGTTTAAGTTGATTAATATTAAGTATTGATTTTAAATATTTAAATTTGTAAAGAATAAATATTAGTTTTTCACAAATAAACGTAATATGTTCATCCCATTTAAGATGGCAATCTAGAATGATTCCTAAATATTTTATGTTTTTTACTTGATTAATTCTAAAGTGACAGTTATTATTAATAAAATTTAAACTATTTAAAAAAAGGTGCTGATGGTTTATTACAAAAAAATGGTAAGTAAAACGTTTTATCTATATTGATGGTCAGTAATTTTGAGTCAAGCCAATTTTGGATTTTAGGAAAATCACTCTCCACAAGGTCTTTAATATTTTTCCATGTATCACTGCTGTAGAAAACAGCTGTATCGTCTGCAAAGCCCAAAATCTCACCTTTAGATTTAATTGAAAATAGATCATTAATGTATAAATTAAAAAGGAGTGGGCCTTGGGGAACTCCATATCTTACCGGTAAGAAATTACTATACAGGGTGTCACGAAATTAGACGGTCATATTTAACAGCATAATCTACATCTTAAAATAGGAGTAAAAGGGTGTTAAAAGCGAAGTCCCGATGACACTCTTTTTTTGTAAATGTTTTCTAAACATTCAAAGATAACTAAGTGAAATTTGGTACAAATGCTTACATTTTTATGCTCTATTTAATTGACCAAACTCCAGTTTTTGATCATCTTCATAGGTAGGCAAATTAGGGGGGCTTAGGGTAAAAGTTTTTTTTGTTGACAGTTTTTAACATTTTTGACTATAAAATTTGGAAAACCAATGTTTTCTTTATAATAAAACTACTTCTGTTGCATCTCGCTAGAACGCACCATTTTTAAGAAAAAATCATTTGAAAATTTCATGATAAGTTGATGTTATCTTATTTGAAAGTGTAAACAATAATTAGTAGGCCTGTGAAATCAAAAAAATTATTGTTTTTTACTTTGGGAAAACAGGTGACTAAAAAAAAATTTAGAAAATATTTACAAAAATGTGCCATCAGGACTTCACTTGTAACACCCTGTATCTCGAAAACGAAAATTTTTCGGATCTATGTTTATATGAACTTTTATTCCTATTTTAGGATGTAGATTACGCTGTTAAAATATAACCGTCTAATTTCGGGACACCCTGTATTTATTACTCACTCTAACCATTTGTGTTCTTCCATTTAAGTAGGTTTGAAATAGGTTTAGAGGAATATTTCTCTAAAGCATGAACAAGCAGAGGATGACTGACGGTGTCAAATGCCTTTGAGAGGTCCAGAAACACGCAAAGATAAGGTTTGCTTCTGTCAAGAGCATTGTTAATTTTTTTTGTCAGAGCCAATAAAGCATCTTCAGTAGATGTCTTTTTCTAAATCCTGTTAAATAATAAATTGTATTTATTTAAATATGAAGTTAAGCGTGTCTCTAGAACCTTCTCAAATAAAAAAAAAAAAAATTCGCCATACATTACCGTCTCGATGATGGTGGGTGAGGTTTTCCGGGTTTTCCTCACCTGTAAGTCAAATGGCACCATCAATCATCTTTAAGTCGCCCCGGAGCGCCACGGCAAATAATAATAATAGCCGTCCCTTCCCCTACACAAGTCGTTCAGTCGACTTCAGGGGTTGAAATTCACTCGTAAGGGGGTGAATTAGGGAGAGTATTATTATTATAATACCTTCGACAAACTGGAAATAAGGGAAATGGGCCGATAGTTTGTAGCAATATTTTGATCATCTTTTTTGAAAACGGGAACGACAATAGTTTCTTTTAGGAATGATGGCCATATTCCAAATTCCATATATTTATCAATTACGTAAGCAAAAGATTCTTCAAAGGAGAAATAATTTGTAAGATTTTAGATGTAATTTGATCAATTCCCGCTGATTTTTAAGTTTTTTGGATTATTAATTATATTTTTTATTTCATTTTTATTAGGTGAATATAATACAAAACTATTTGGAAGAGAAATTCTTGGGGGCAGGTAATTGGAAGGATGTATAATTTTATTAGCTTATTTTTCTCCAGTTTCTAAGAAGAGTTTCTTAAACTGATTAGCAATAAGTTTAGGATCCGATACTAAGAGTCCTTGGTCATTGTCACTTTATATGGATTTTATTTCGCTATTTGTCTTGTTAACATTATTAGAAATATAACGAGATAGTAAGATAATATAAATGCCGATACCAGGAAATATTAATTCTTGTAAAATTTCTCTCATAGACATATTATGTTACCAATTGCTTTTTATGAAACAATAATAGATTATTTGGAAAATATACCATCGAGCATTGATATTCTTGTTTCTTTGGCAGTATAAAAAAATTGGTCATTGTTTAGCTTCTTAAGCTTATGAAAAACTTAAGCATACGTACTTGTAAGTATCACTATTGTAAACAAAAAATCTTTGTTTTATATCTTGTGCAAATTAATAAAAACCACATAATGAATTTTTTTAAATAAAAATATTTCACAAATTCTCTCAAATTTAAGTTTGGAGATGCTACTTTTACGTCTTACACTGTTGTCATGTCGCACAAAAAGTTTCCTATCCAATTATTTATTATCAAAAATACATCAATTCATTTCTAATAAATTTTGTTGCCCTAAAAAAACCCTTGTTCGCTTTTTTTTTATATTTTTATTTAAAGTTGTGTTCCTATTATTAATTTGCACAAGATATAGAACTTTTTCTGTTAACAATAGCAATACGTACAAGTTCGTATGCTTAGTTTTTCTGTAGTCGAAAAAAGCTTAAACTAGAGATTTACCAAAATATTGTAAAAAGTTTATTAAACAAATGGTGCTTTTATACTTTTTGCATAAAAAAACTGATAATAATAATAGAATGTTTTTAATTCCTACCTTTTCTTCTTCATTTCTCTTAGTGTCATTGATGCAACTTGATAAAATGTGTATCCCAAAAACAAAACACAAACTCACATGCTACACCGAATTTTCAAAAAAAATCCGCGAGAACTCGCGACTCGCCGAAATGTACGAGAGCTGCCGGTTGCTGTCTTGGGATGCCGCGTAGCCAGGCACTTGTTCTTTACAAATCGAAACAACTGACTACTGCCGGTTCTTCTTCTTCTGATCGGAGATGGCATGCAAGACGTTGCACCGCTACCATAATCAAATAGTAGTGGCATTTAAATCCAGTAGTAGCCAACCGGTGGGGTGAATGGGGCAATTTGGCGAAGGCGCTCGTGAAGATTTGTTATTAATTATAAACTCGATTATAAATATGTAATATGCAGGCAGTCATATCTGATGGATTGATTTTATTATATTAAAGGTAATTATTTATTTGTGGGATAGGAATATTAAGTTTATTGAAAATATAAATGTTTAAGTAGCCTTCATAAAATTTTATTATTTAATCTGTCCATTTGTATCGATAAATGTATTTTTAATTTTTTATTTAAATGCTTTTTTCCATCCCACCCGTAATCAATCATTCTTCCAATCTTTTTCCAATAAATTCGTGGAAATAGTATTGTACTTTATGTTATACTACCCTTAGGTATATATCATTCTACAGTGTGGAACAGCCAAATGGAATAAATTCGGTAATAAATAAATGGGAGCGTGGTCGAAAAAACGCTTGGACATGTCGATTGACATTTTTATACAGAGTGTGTCATGTAACAGTGGCCAATACCAACTTTTTTACATGCAACATTCTGTATATTTTTTAATTTTTAAATTCTTCAAAAAATTCTAGACACATTTTATGTACTATGTCCTATAGCTAACTATTTCGGAAATATTAAATGTTTTCCGATTTATTGCAAAATTATCATTAAGAAAATAAAATTGTTTGATTACAGAAATTCGCTAAAATACACTCAAATCTTTTTTATTAATTTGGTGTCATCGGCATCGACTACTAAGGTCATTAGCCTCGTTTTCTGTGTAGGCTTTGTTACTGTTTTCCAGCGCCACTTTAGAAACAGAACTTCATGACAGTAGTTGTCAGTGTTATAGTCGTTTGAATTTCCTTGACTGTATATCAGAAAAATAGTTCATTTAACAGAAAAGCACAAAATAACAATTCTAGAGATGATTGATTATGGAGATAACACACGGACACTAATAAACGTTGCTCGCTTATTTCAGGGACAAGTTTCGCGAGCTGGGACATGTAAGGCAGATAAAAAATACAGCTGCCAATGAAATAATTTTTTCATTGATGGCAAATTAAATGGCGATAATTATTTAGAACTGCTCCAAAATAATGTCGTGCCAACTTTAACGAACTTATATCCCGATCCAGCAAACTCACAAGTTCCATCGAATATGATATTATTTCAGCAATCGATTATTTCCAAATAGGTGGATAGGAAGTCGAGAATCGATGGAATGGCCAGCACGATCTCCTGATATGACATCATTAGATTTTTTTTATGGGGATATGTCAAAAGTAATACATCCAAAACTAAACCTCTTGACCTAACTGACTTAAGAAGACTAATAACGCTTGCAATTGGATCTGTCACGCCTGAGATGTTGAGTAACGTTAGAAAACATTTTTATTTCAGATTTGGATGTTGCCAAGAGGTTCGCGGCGAGCAACTCCTACATTGAGATGGTTTTGTTTTTCATTATCAGGAAATAAATAGTATTACTTATTAGTTTTTCTACACCCACATGAATATTAGCTTATCTACGCACAGATTACAAAACAAAAAAGTATGCTATTGCCTTCAACTAAACGAATATATTTCATATCCATTCTAGGTAGTGAGAACACTACAAAAAAATTAAATCCACCAGTCACCGACTACTATTATTTTTAAAATTTTAAATAAGTGATCATTCTGTCAAACTAATTGTCAGTATATTTTTTAGTTATTGAGATTAAACATACATTAAAATGGGTTGTTCTTGTGAAGAATCGATAAATAATAGCATTTCTGTTCTTATTTCGTCTATAATTATAAATAATTTGTTAATTTAAATAAAACTATATGAAGTCAATTAAATTACGAGTATTCAAGCAATAAATATAAAAGAATAGTTGGTCCTGCGGTCAGCGTTCTTGCCTTTCACACGGAAGGCTCGAGTTCGATTCTCGCATGGGGAAAATGAAATAAACTTTTTTTTTCTCGTTTATTTTATTTTAAAAAATATTAAAGGTCATACATTATTTTAAAATTAATTATTTTGTCTTAATAACCTAAAATATAATTATATTTATAAATTTTCGTTAGTGGGTCGTAGAAAAATTATTGTGTACAATTCGAGTGGATTGTATACAACGCACTAGACGATTGAGCACTCAAATTTTGTCTTTGTGCGATATGGCCATCATATCCATTCTACACGCAGAAACTACTATTTTAAGTGTGTTGTAACGAATTTATTTAATGAAATTATTTTATTTTATTAATGTTAATTTTTGCAATAAATTGGAAAAATATACATGGTGTTGCATTTAAAATAAGAAAGTTAGTATTGGCCACTGTTACATTACACACCCTGTATAAAATGTTTTTGGTAAAAAATGCGCAACTAAAAATACCAATCGATGTGTCGTTTTTCCGAAAACGCTCCACACTGTATAATTCACCACGACATGGCTACTGCCCTCACTGTTAGATTTTTCTTCTGCTTAGAGCTTTATTACGGGTAGCCTGCCCTGTTAGAGGAGTTCAAATTGTCGAACTTTCCTAACCAGGGTGGCTAGTTATCTCTGGAATGTGTTTCTATAAATAATCAGAAAAAAAACTTGATTGATTATTACTATTATAACTTTGATCCTTGCACATACTTCGATTTTCTCTTTATGTGGATCCTTGGTATCAAAAATCATAAAATATAACAAAAAAATGGAAATGTCGAGTGACAAAAAAAAATTGTTATGTACAAAGGCGTGTTTATACAACGATTCTTACCCTTAAATTAAAATCCCCATATAATATACAGGGTGGCGCATCCTATACGCGTCGGTTTCTGTAGGGAACACGACTTTTTTTTAATAGTGATATACAGGGCATTTAACACTACAAATTTAAAATAATTTGGATTATACAGGGTGACCCAAAAATAAGAATTTATATCAAAGTTATGTTTTTTTTTAAAGAACACCCTATATTTGATGGTGTCTTTTGATTCCCCGAAAAAAAAAAGTAAAGTTTCGGTAATGTTTCCCATACCTATCTTTTTTCGTTTTTGAAACATTTAATGGATTCTTAATTTGTAAGCTTGAACAACATAATCTAGTATGTCGCGGTTATTTAAAACACATCAACAGTCACCTGCGATATGCGTAGCCAAGATATTAGACTATCTAATTAAATGCAAATTTTTCTATTACATCATTTAGTCTAATTAAATTCAACTTACATATGGAGTTAAATAATATTCTAATTTTAAATGGCACACCCTGTATTTAGAAACTTAAACTGATAGACATTTAAATTATCTTTCATTTCATATAAGATTTTCCTATACCTAAATTCAACCTCTATACCTAAATTCAACGATTTTTTAGTAAATATCTATTTTTATGTTTAACATAGCTAATTTTTGTAAATACTCTTTCCCGTCAAAGAGACCATTGAATTTAAATGTCAAATGCAAGTTTGACATTTCTATTTAGTAAGTTAGATATCAAGTATACGAGAAATCGAATTTTAAATATGAAAACTTATTTTAAAGCAGAGTGAATTAATATGGTGCTTGTTCTTGGTGAGTGTCATGAAAACTGTTTATTGGCTTCTAAAGTTTACGGCCAAAAATACCCAGATCAAGAGAAACCTCACAGACGTGCTTTTGAAAGATTACTACAACAGTTTAAAGTTATCGGAAACGTAGATTATAAAATAATTATTTAGCCTCAACCTATTAATTGTAGGAGATCATGATAATAAATGTTGGGTTATTTGCTCACTAATAGAAAACCCACACACAAGTCATCGTGCTATTAGTAGATAAACTGGAATAAGTAGGAGAAGTATTGGACGAATAATAAAAAAAACATAAATTTCATCCTTATAAGATACAGCTGCATCAAGAACTGTATTAAAGGGACTTTTAACAAAGAATCGATTTTTGTTTATGGGTTATTGAGAAACTAGAATCAGATGCAGATTTTTTTGATAATGTTTTGTTTCGGACGAGTACACGTTTCATAATAATATACTCGTTAATCGCCATAACTTTCATTATTATAGTGATGAAAATCCTCACGTCTTTCGTACTCTCGATCATCAGCATAGGTGGTCCTTGAATGTGTGGGGAGGAATATTAGGTTTTCATTTTATTGGTCCTTATTTTTTTACCGGTCATCTGAATGGCAGAAAATTTCTAAAATTTTTGCGGAGAAAATTATCTGGTCTCCTTGATAATGTACCTTTAAATACTAGGCAGAAAATGTGGATGCAGTTGGATGGAGCCCTCGCATATTTTCAATTTCGAATACGGCGATACTTAAACCGGCGTTTTGTAATAAATGGATCGGAAGAGGTGGTACATATAATTGGCCTCCAAGATCTCCAGACTCGGCGTCGTTGTATTTTTTTTATGGGGACACATACAAAGTATAGTTTATAATACCCCACCAACTACTCCAGAAGATATGAAAGCTAGAATAAGAGCTGCCTTTCAGACAGTAACTGGAGAAATTCTTTTCGAAGTGAAACGATCCTTTGAAAGACGAGTTCAGTTATGTTTAGAACAAGATGGGCGTCACTTTGAACATTTTTTATATTTCATTTTTTGTTTTGTTTCCAATTTGTTTCTTATTCTTCTTTATTTGTGTGTAGTTTTTAAATAATTAAAATTTTCTTGTCTTTAAATGTTTTTTTTTAACGCGCTTATATTAGCTTCACCTGTATGTATGTTTGTAACTCTCCTTTGAACTCAAGTAACTTATTACTGTCAGTATATCCCACTAAGTCAAGTTCCTTTGTTGGCCGAGCGGTCTAAGGCTAAAGACACACACGGCTGTTTCCGCCGAGTCGGCCGCCGAGTCGGCCGCCGACTCGGCTGGCCGCCTCTGCCAAAACACACGAAGCGGTTCACAAAAAAGTAATGCATTTGAGTCGAGCGACGGTACGCGCGGCGGTGTAGCGTCGCTTTCTCGCAGCGCAGTTTAGTGTGAACAACTCCATTTATTTACATTACAGCATCCGCCGAGGCGGCGGCCGAGTAGGAGGCCGACTCGGCGAAAACAGCCGTGTGTGTCTTTAGCCTAAGACGCGAGTTTTCGATTGCAAGACTCACCGATCGTGGGTTGTAATCTCCACGGCTAAAAAAAAAATATTTTTTTTTTCATCAATTTCAACTTTAATAATTATTTGAACTAAAAAGTGAAAAATAAATATAGTTTAAAAAACTAAAAAACATGCTTTTAAAAAGTTTAAAAAGTTAAAAATGTTTTTTTTTAATAAGCTTTTATTCAAATAAGCTTAAAACAATAATAAATGAAAAATACTAGTATTATTGTGAAAAAAGCGTAGGGCGAATTGTCCATATTTCTCGTACATCGAGCGCCCGACGCTTTTTTCACAATAATACTAGTATTTTCCATTTATTATTGTATTAAGCTTATTTGAATAAAAGCGTGTTAAAAAAAATTATTTTTAAATTTTTTTTAGTTTTTTTAAAACTATATTTATTATTAAAAAATTATAAAAGTTCGAAAGAAAAGCACTTTTCGTCCGTATTTCATACATGATTTTTTATTCGAATATGCTTAGATATTTAAAAATATATAGATAATTAGATCTGAAATGATAATATTAACAATAATTTTTCCTTAACTGAGTTGGCTATGAAGACAATTGAACAATTTCTGTCATGTCACTGTCAAATTAATTAATTTACCTAGTTTATTAAAAATTGGTATCAAAAAAACATTACAAAAATTAGCAGTGACGAAGAATTCATTACAAGCACGCCTCCAGAAATTAGAGAGGCGGCAAATTTGGCGTCTTTGAATTTGATTCCAAAAAAATTAGAAATGGTATTTGAAAGAACCTACCTCAAATTTGAGAATTCTCATCAGTACCTATGTAATACTTTATACACTTAAATTTAGTGACAATGGCCGATAAAGTACTTTATGAAGTATATACAAAAGTTCTAATTTTTGACTATGTTTTTTGTCCGAAAAACGACATTTTTTGACTATCCAAAGAAGGCTTTTGCGCTTCGAAATTCAACCGCAAAGTTGATGTTTTCCACAAACTGATATTAAGTGACAGCTTTATCTATTGCTGAGGGGATAAATTGACAGCTTTGTCGCTCGCCAAATTTAAAATAAATATATTACATTAATAATTATTTTTAATAAATCATTTTGAAGTTATTTGTACCTAATTTGATGTTTTTTTCTTTTATCCAAGTTAACATTGACTTTGAATATCAACTTCATGAAAAACGCAGATTAGGCAACACATTATAGATTACTTATGACGTTTTTATATCTAGTTCTTAAAATAATGTAATCGTAAAAAATCTTTTGTGTATTTTGAGCGAAAAGTTCGTTGCCGCTTTTGACAAACTGCCGCGCTCCGCTACGCGTAACGCGGCAACTTTTGTCTCAAGCGGCAACGTATCACTTTTCGCTCCTAATACACAAATAGCTTTTTACTACCCAGGTCGCAAAAGTAATGTAGCTCTGCTATTAAACATTCTGTTATATTTTAAGTTTGATTTTTAATACTGGTAGATATATTTTTGCTATTGTAAAATAGTAGTCCATAATCCACATGTACATCAAATTTGGATGAAAGCATTTTTAGTTGAATAAGAGAAAATAGATTAACTATAATTAAATCAATTTGAAATACAAGCACACTAACATGACAGCAATTGTTCAATTGTTATTTAACTATTAGGCATTCCAAACTGAATGGCTACCAGTGGGTTCTGACAGGTTATGATTTGGCAAAATTATGGCAACCCTGTAGGCCTGGTGATCATCCATATTTTTCAAAATAAACATAAGCTTATTACTTGAAGTAAAAATGTAAGCAGTTATTTTTTTTTTTTTAACATCTAAAGGCTAAAAATTGGGTTTAAAATACATTTTTGCTAAACCGATTCAAATTAATAAATATTTGCCAGGCAATATGGCCGCTCGTAAACGACCAGCTTTGAGCAATCTATATAACTACATATGTATCATTGACCCTGTTAATGACAACATGACAACAGGGTTGCCATATCTAAACTGTCATTACCCACTGGTAGCCATTTGGACAGGTCGTTGGAATGCCTAATTCTTATAGATCACAGCCATCTCAGTTATAAGACAAATTAGAAATAATATCGTTTCGGATTTAATTTTCTACATTTAGTTAATATATATAAGCACATTCAAGTAAAAAAATAATGCACAAAACACGAACGAAAGCGTTTTTCTGGCCACTACGAGAAGCTTGCCAGACAAGACGTAGTCGAGTCGGGAAACTCATAGGAATCCAACAATACAAGAAATTGTAAATAACTTTAAACACAAAATGCATATTTAGAGAGCAGAGAGTCCATAAATCGAAATTTATCACTTATACTATTCCTAGTCCTAAAATAATTTCCGGAAATTTTTTTCAAGGTCACAAATGTGTTTGTTAACAAAATCAAGACAAAAATTTCCTGAAATTAATTTTAGCACGTGGTGTGTTCGATAAGGAAAGTTAATGACAAAACCATCCAAAATTCAAAGAGGTACCTACTCTTTTGACAGGAAAATTAAATTCGTAACAGATGCTAGTTAAACACACACTTTTTGTCTGACCAATTTTAAACCAGGTGTGTAGTCGTATTTATTAATTATTTAAGTTTTCCTATGCTCTAGTAAAATGTGGTTAATTTACTTGAAAAGGCTAGATATTATTCTAGCAATAACAGATAATTATATAGCAGTACAGAAGAGAAAAAAAATTACTTCTACTTCTGTTGAATATGGATGCAGTTATTTATTAATGGCAGATTTGATGTCAAACATTTCTGTACCTCAGAGCAGAAGGGTATTAAGTCCAAAATTTTGATTTTCCGCTTTTTTGATTTAAATTACTTAACATTTCGCGCTTAATCAGCTGGCAAAAGTTCAGAGCCCTTGGACTAAAGGCTTCTGAAATAGCATTTTAAAAATGGTATTAAGTCCACATAGTAATGAGAGCAGAAGAGTATTAACTACTTTCACATGTTTTAAGTCCACAACATCACATACAGTTTACAGAGCAAAACAATATAAAGTCGCTGAAATAGTATTATGTCCATATGCTACATTAAAGCTACAAGTATTAAGTCCACTCCCACCCATTCTTTTGCAATGCAGGCCAATGTTCTCAAGTTGAATCCTGCATTTTCGTTAGTTTTGTTTTGTTTACGTTTACTTATTGATCATTTTGTCGAGCTCTTGTTTAAAAATAAAAAACTGTGAGTCAAAAACTAACAGTGTTTAAAAAAATGAGTGCGAGAAATAGAAGAATGGTTCAGGAATGTATTGAAAGAGAAAGGAACAAAACTCTCCCAACCTCACCTGTAGATATTTCAGATCCAGGTAAGCAATTAATTTGATGGAAGGTAGGATGTAAACTTAATAATAAATTTTATTTAAATGTAACCAATCAAGGTAGTATTGCACCGCTTACAAAATAGTTATTTATGCAGCAAGTGTGTAAAGTAACATTTTTTTACGAATGGAGATTATTTTGCACGATCCCATGAGTAAAATAAGATCTTTACGTACGTGTTACATGCAACATTTTTTCTACTACCACCAAAATTAGGTGAAAAATTAACATTTCAGCTATTCACTTTACGCAATAGTGCTTAAAGTAATTTAATTTGATGACGTTAAAAAAAACACTAAATTAACAATATTGACATACATTTACGCACAATTGCGAAAAAATAGAACTTTACGCACTGTTTAGCATGTCGTAAAGTTAGTACTTCACGCACGGTAGTAGAAAAACTGATAAATGTTTGTTTGATTTTATTTTTTTGATTTAATAATTCGAATTTATTTATTACAGCTTATAAAATTCAGGAAAATACCCAGGATTCAGATGTTAAGAAGGCTACTCTTGAAAATAAGTGCGACTCAGTAGTTGAATATGGCAGGACAGAAGAAAGGCAAGAAATAATGTCTATAGAAAATTTTCCATGCGAAGGTAAAAGTAAAAATTAAAGTACGAGTATAAAATGTGTGATTATTATCTGTTGTTTTTTTATAGTAAATCAAATTGGCGGCTCCCCCCAAATAATAGAGAACCAGAATACGATTATTGATATGTTGGCATCTTCTAATGCGCAGCTGTTGGATATTTCGTACAATTTTGTTGACCACTCTAAGTTTAATTTACCAGGCTGTAGTTTTACTGATTTTACTCCAAATGATTCAGCCTCTGCCCAGATGATTTGTGGTTCAAGTTCAAACCATACCACCACTGCTCCCAGAAATGATTCTAAAGAGCCTTCCGAAAATGAGGATATAAGTGAAAATGACCTGTATGAAGACTCAGGAAGTTCCTACGTCCCTGACAATGAGGCGTGTAGTGATGAGGATGACTTTGACGTAGAAGCGCACTCATCTAATTCAGAGGCAATTCAAATAGAAGAAGAGCACAATTCAACTAATAATGACGAGATTAAAAAGGGAAAAAAGAGATTAAGACAAGAAAACAAATGGAAAAGAAATATAATTAAAAAGAAGAGGATGGGAGGGCAGATATACAAATCCAGTAAAACAAAAATTGATATTAAAAAGAGAAAAATAAGAGAAGCATGCATAAATTGTCGTGTAAAGTGTTCAGAGAAAATATCAGAAGCTCAGAGAACAAAAGTTCATGAAGAATTCTGGAATGAAGATATCTCTATTGATCAAAAGAGACAATTTTTGTGTTTATCCATTCTGCAGATACCTGTTTCAAGAGTAAGACAGCGAACATTCAGTCGAGAAGGAAAACGACTCTATACTCTAAAATATTATTTCCTTATAGATGGAGAAAAAATACAGGTGTGCCGAAAATATTTTTTAAACACCCTCGATATTTCCCAGACATTTGTCAGGTTTGCTCTACAAAAACGACAATCGAGTGGCATGGTCGAATGTGATAAAAGAGGAAAACAGCCATCAGTGAATAAAATTAAGGATGAAGATAAGAATACGATCCGTCAACACATCATGTCATTTCCATGTGAAGAGTCACATTATAGTCGAAGGCGCACTGCAAAAAAGTATTTGGGCAGTCATTTGAACATTTCCACCATGTATAAATTGTATAGAGAACAACGCCAATTGGAGAACATACATCCAGAAGACATTCCTAAACAATGGATTTATAGCCAAATCTTTAACACTGAATTTAACCTAGCATTCGCTCCTCCTGCAAACGATACCTTTGATGCATGTGATGAGTTTGTTGTCAATCTGAGGCAGGCAGGTTCTCCTATTGAGAGAGAAAAAATACAAACAGATTATGATTCACATTTAAATGAAGCTGATAAAAGATACGAATTAAAAAAACAAGATAAACAGTTAGCCTTAGACAAACCTGAAGAAATTGTGTTAATGATTGACCTGCAAAAGTGTTTACCATGTCCAAAACTATCAAATGCTCAAAGTTTTTATAGTTTGAAATTATGGTGCTTTAACTATACAATCTACGATTCCTCAAATAAGAAAGCTAATTGCCTAATCTGGGATGAATCCATTGCTGGCAGGGGAGGAAATGAAATGGCTTCCTGTCTGATGAGCTACATAAACTCTATTTCCAAAACGATACTCACATGGAGGTGGATAGTATCCACTCCGTGATTGAGCGGGAATCTAAAAAATATCCAAATTATAAAATAATGACTCCTTGGGACTGGATGCAGTTGGCTCGCCTCTCGGGCAAAAACAAAGACTACGTTGTATTTGAAATGACAACTCCTGATTTTAGGACTTTAACAAGCTCTACAATATACCTAACGCTCCCTTTCAAAATTGCAAGAAAACAGAGAAGGGCGAAAAATTTTTGATTTCAAAAGTAGTTTTGATGCAAGTCAGACAGGACTCTCCAGGTGTTCTGTTTTTTAAAAGTGATTTTGATCAGGAATTTGATAGCATAGATTTCAACAGAAGAGGAACACGAAAGCAGCATCCTAACACAGAAGACTCATTGACTCCACTTCGAGAAATCCCTAACCTAATAAGTTCAAAAAAATATAACGACCTTCAAAAATTACTAAAGTGGGTGCCCAAGATATTTCACCCTTTTTATCAGAACTTGGCCCATGGTGACAAAAATTTAAACCATGACTAGTACTTAAAATTTACTATTACCTAAATTACATGATGAGTTCTGTGTTTGTGTTTTTTCTTTAATAAATAATTTTCGATTAAAAATACTTGCCTTATTTTTTTTTTTCGCTTATTATACAGAATGTAGTAGGGTCTTTTGATTTGTACCTACCTACTAACACGAAACAGTTTGTATTAAGTCACATTTTTGTCTATTTTGTTTTGTGCAAAAATGTATTAAGTCCATTAAAAATTAAACAAAAAAAGCTAAACAAAATTTTGGATCATTAAGTGATGGTGTCATACTATATTCCTTCCTTACAATTTTTGCCAAAAACAATGAGAAAAGACAAGCCCTGTTATACAGGAAAAACGAATAAAAATAAACGTTTTTCGCTCTCCTGTAAAATATTGAATTTGTGACTTAATACCCTTCTGCATTGAGGTACAGATTTTAGTATTCCTATGCTCTGGTAAGATGTGGTTTATATTTCTGAATAAGGAAGATAATATTTTATCAATATCACAAAATTATATAGTACTAGAGAAAAGCGAAAAACTGTGAGCTTAGTTTTATCCTTGGAGACCGGAGATGTAACATTGCACATAGCGCATGTTGTCTATTCCAACCCTAAGTAATCCACCAATTAAAAATCATTGTGTCCACGACGCCTCCCGAATTGCTCCGACATTTTTATTCTAGGCTCGTTTCCGCGTAAGTAAAGCATCATGGACCGCCGGTAGTGTTATTAGCAATTTAAAGTGTTTTAGTTATTCCATTTCAAGTTGAAAATGCCACGATGTATCGTGAAAAATTATATATACAAATAATATAAGTGCAAATGTTATGAAAAATAAGAAATATATTCGTTTTCAGCGGTAAATATTGATTAACGTTTTGACATAAATCCGCCATGATCCTTTGGACTGAATACTTCAGATCCGCATTAAGGGATTTCAATAAATATTAAGCATAATACATAATATTTCAGAAAACAGATTTCATAATCCATAAATTTACAAAAGGGCAAAATTTTAAATATTTTATCTAAATAAGAAGTAAATAGGCATTGTTACTAACGAAATTTTGTTTTTAAAAAGTAGTTTTATAAGAATATTTACTAAAGGTAGTTTTTAGCCCTTTTTAGTAGACAAATAAGAAGTAAAGAAGCATAGCTAGCAAAATTTTATTTTCATAAGAATATTAGATGAAATACAGGATCACCTACTTAAAATTTCAAAGATTTCATAATCCATAAATTTACAAAAGGGCAAAATTTTAAATATTTTATCTAAATAAGAAGTAAATAGGCATTGTTACTAACGAAATTTTGTTTTTAAAAAGTAGTTTTATAAGAATATTTACTAAAGGTAGTTGTTAGCCCTTTTTAGTAGATAAATAAGAAGTAAAGAAGCATAGCTAGCAAAATTTTATTTTCATAAGAATATTAGATGAAATACAGGATTACCTACTTAAAATTTCAAGGTTCATCTCATTTGCGGTTAAATCGGAAGTGACATTTGAATATTAAGTCTTAAAACAAAGTAAAACGCACAATATGATCTAGTATAAGCAAAACAATACTAAAGTTACGGAAGTTAGTCATATTGTTAATAAAATGTTACATTATAAATCCCTAAACAACTCGAAAAAATCTTCGTTCACTAAAAAATTCTAAATTCTAGCAATATTTTTATTTATTATACAATTGAATGCAGTTTCAAAGATAACAGAATTAAAAAATCCGAATCTCTAAATTTTAGAGCTAAATGCTCAAATAATCTATTTACAAAAATAATCTATTTATCGAATTTTTTAATAAAAATCGATTTATCCCTTATGATTATTCAATTATTTTCAAGTAATCGAACATTTTCAATAAAATATTTTCGTTTTTTTTTATAAATAATGAAATAATCGATTTTAAAGGCATAACAAGAAGAAAGTAGATTTATTCAAAATATTCTATTGATTGAAAATTTATTGTTCAATCGGCTTTTTTAATTAATTAATTAATTTTAATTAATGGATTATTTACGATTAACCGAATATTTTTATAAATCGATTATTTTTGATTTTTCAAAAGTATTCGAATAATTTGATAAAAAAATACTAAAAAATAGATTATATGAAAATAATCGAATGATCGAATATAATCGGTTATTTATAGAATTATCGATTTATCGGTCAATCAGCTTTTTATTAATCGATTATTTTGAATTTATCTATTATTTTCTATTTTTCAAAGATAATCAAATAATTAATTTTAAAGGAAATATGAAAAAAAAAGATTTGAAAATAAACGATAATTCGGTAATTTTTTTGGAAAATCGGTTTATCGTGGAATCGGCTTCTTAATTTATTGGTTATTTTCGCTTGATCGATTATTTTTGAATAAGCGTTTATTTTCGAATAATCGATTATTTTCAGTATTTCAAAGATGATTGAATAATCGATTTTAATGGAAATACGAAAAAAAATTGATTGTTTGAAAATAATCGATTGATCGAAAATAATCGATTATTATCAATGATCGATAATTTATTTCGATAATCACCCACCCCTAGCGACCAAATGACTTTTAATAGGTTTAAATTTTAAAATGTTATCTGGTTTCAGATATATGCATTTCTAGAGTTTCATGTGACTCATCCTTTATATTAATTAATATTCCTAAAAAAAGAAGCTTTTATATACTTTTTTCTGAGGTTACAATACAGAACAGCATTTTCTCATTTTGACTAATTTTTAATATTATGTGAAAGCAGTAGAAAAAATATAATGTTTAACTCACAAGGTTTGAATTGCAGTATTCGCCTGCACACATGCTTTTTTTATAATACTCGTAGACAATGAGTACCATTTCTTTCTCGATTAACAATATTATATTTCAACATTTTACTGTATTCTCTTACAGAAAAGTCCGTAGTAAATAAACGCTAACGAAATATTCTATAAATGGTATTTTCTTAACATAAAAGGCGTGTTTGATATTAAAAAAAAATCACGCTATTTTATTTCATAATGCAAAAGTCCATTAAAAATCTTTTAGGTAAATCTAATAGATCATTATGATGCTAATAAATAAAGGCCGTCCCTGTCATAAAGTTTGGGTCTCCACCCAGTTCCCCCACTCCGTTAACCTTTATTTAAAAATTGGCAACATTTGCGCAGGTTAAACGCCAGTGTATCTTATATCTCTGGTCTCTTTTATCTAAGATTTTATCGAAATTATTCTACACCAATGATTTTTATGGCAGCTGTCAAGGCAGGTAAATTTCCACTTATTAATTTTACAGCTAGGTAGAAAAATTTCCGAATAAATACAAAGATTGTCATGGCAACCTTCAGATATGATTGCATTTTATTGGCTGAAAATTGTTATCATAAAATTTTCTCCAAAATTCAACGATTCGGATTTTTTATCGCGTTAACTTGTTCTTATTATATTATAAATATTAGTTCAAGAATAGTTTTTTAAAAAACGAACTGCTTTCAAATTATTGAGGAATTAATAATTTAATGATTTATTAATAATGTGTTAGGTCATCTTGAAATTTTGGGTTATGTGTTCTTAAATAGTAATCTAAATAATATCTATAATTTGGCGAAAAAAAAAAATAATTCGTCTTGATATCTATATTTCTATATTATAATATTATTAGACTTCTACATTTTCATTAACTTTATTGTTATACTTCCTTTTTTATAACTGAAGCAACTTATAATGGATTTAGGTCACCAAAAAAGTATAAACCTCAATCATAAAATCCTTGATCAATACATTTTCGCAATCAAAAATAATAAAAATGATGCCAACAATGTAAAACAAAAATATACACTTATATAGACATACTCACTTTAAAAGGTATATTTAAAATTTATTGAGATTAATTAAACCATACTTAAATGCAGATATATAATTGTATTTAAAACAAATAAGTCGATTAATTAATAAACCATGCTAAAAAAATCAAATGAAATTGAGAACAATTAATTTATATAGCTATATAAGACTGTCTTAAAATCAAGATCGCGTCATTATAATATTATATGTTGTACAAGTATTTTAATTGACTAGCAAGACCAAATAATGCATACAAAAAATGTTAGTATTTTATTAGTTATGCGATTTAAATAGAATAAAGGTTTTAGTTTTTTATAATGGTCATCTCTAAATATTAAAATTAAAATTCCAATCCGGTTTTTGTAATGAACTGGGAGAATGTGAGCAACTTAATTGAAAAAAAAAAAAATCTAAACCCATCCACTGAAATACTAATGAATCCTTATAAAATTATAAAATGGAAATGTTTAATAAATTTGGAATATTTATACACTGTGTCCCAGATTGGTGATGCATGTATTGATATCTCGAATATTACAAGTGCTACACAATCAGTAAAATGGCCAATGTTTCTCAGGGATCTATTACCATTTCAGAACTTTTATTAACGGAAGTTTGCCTGTATTTAACCTGGGAGTCAATTCTCGTTCATCGAGCGTACCCAGTTCATGACGTCATGAACGATGATTTCTTATTAATGCAATTTAAATCGTTTTTGGCGAACGCGTCCATTCATTTTCATCGCTCGTATGTTTGTTCAACGATTTGCGTTCAGCTTCAGCATATGTAAACATAACCTTCTTTTAAATACTTTTATTCATTACAAAATATCCTGAAATGGCTAATTTGGATGAAATTGCTGTAAAAATTTTAAGAACTTAGTTGCCGAGGTGGAATTATTGGTAGTTGAAGGAAATCGAAGAGAATATTATAAAAAGTTAAATCCTTTCCAAACCTATGGGAATTGTTTACAAAATATTTTTGCCAGTGAGGAATATTATTGAGATTCA